TTTTCTCAAAAAAGAGACTCTGCCTGTCAAATAGAAGATCTTCAACTTTAGACTGGAGGTCTTTTGGGACAGCTGCCTGCTGCAGCCATGACACACTGTGCATGACTACCGAGGTGGCTGTGCTGCACGCTGCAGTGTCTAGGGCTATATGCGGAGCTGTTCTGGAGGCTGCGTAGCCCTCTTGGACCACTGCCTTAAGAATGTTGCGCTTGGTCCCACTCATGGAACATTTACCTGACACTAACTTTGACAATTATGCGCAGTTATAGTTGGCCGATAATGCTGCGTAATTGGCCATGCATAGGGTCAGCATTGCTGAAGAATATATCTTTCAGACGAACAGATCTAGACATTTGCTGTCCTTATCTGTGCCGTTGGGTTTTTGTTGGGGAGCCTTTGCCCTCTGCTTAGCTGCATCCACAAACACTGAATTTGGTTGTGGATGGGTGAAGAAGAACTCCATGCCCTTCGCTGGAACAAAATATTTCTTGTCCACTTTTTTGTTGGTAGCGGGAGTCGAGGCTGGCACCTGCCATATATCATCTGCTATTTCTAGGATGGCGTCATCTAGTGGTAGTGCAACTTTGGCTTGATGTGATGGTTGAAGGTTCCTGAGCAAATTATGTTGTTTTTGTTGTACTTCAACAAGCTGTACATGCTGGCTGTCTTCCTCTCTCTTGAACAGTTCTTTGAACTGACGAAGGTCATCTACTGGTGAAGTGTCACCTTGAAAGACTGCATCATCTGTGATGATGATGATTGGTCAGTGGGTGACTGTCCTTGTAATTCTCCCTGTTCAGAAGGAGGTTGCTGGTGTTGCTGGGTGCATGACATTTGGAACACCAGTTGGAGTTGGTGATCTTGTAGGGGGTGGTACAGACAAATGATCTTTGGCAGGTGAGGAATGTGAGCGGTGAGGAGATTAAGGCAATAATGTGTCCTGGAGAAATGAGTGGGAATGACGACTGTAATAATGATAGTAGTTTGCCGAGTGGGTGGAAAGTGTTGGTGATCTGGGAGATTGCAATCTTCCCCTGGGGTGTGTGGATGGAGCTGGTGAGTGTCAGTACCAGTAGTGGTAGTGAGGTTAGACTTCTGGGGAACAATAAGTTTGCCATGTATGATGCCTCGGTGACTACCTTGAATGCACCGGAGAAGGTGAGGGCGGCTCCGGGGAGACGTGCATGTGGTCCGGGCTGGGGGAAGGAGCCGGCAGTTTCCATGCCTTTTGGCAGCTGGTGGTATGAACAGGGAAATGTTCCAGTGAGGATGAGGCCAGAGTAAAGATTTCCCTGGGCACAGGGTGCCGTCTGTCACGTGTGGTCGGTTCCGCTGTTAGCGTGTCCTACGGTGCCTCGTATAACAGCGCTGTGTACGTATGCAGTGCCAATAAGGAATGGCGCACCGGGGGCTCAATGATAGGTGGTGCAGCGGGTACCGAGATGGCGGTCGGTGCCAAGGTGGTGGTCGGTGCCGGCAAGCGGCTCGGTGCCGGTGGAGCACTCGGTGCTGAACATGGCACCGATGGCACAGTCAGCGCTGTGGAGACAGACAACAACGGATTCGGCGCCGATGTACTGCGGCTCTGTTTGAGTTTATTGGGGCCACGTGAAGCGGACGTGCCCGAGGTACCTGGCTTGTCTCTGACGCTGACTTGCGTCGGGGGTAAAGACCAAGAGGGAGAAGGTCTTTTCTTCAACTTCCTGGGAGACGGTGGCCACCGAGATTGGGCTGTGAAGGCTCCACTGAGCGGGGAGCGTTGGTACCTTGCAGTTGTAATGCTCTTTCAAAGAGGAGCATTTTTAGATTCATCTCCCTGTCCCTCCTGGCTCACAAAGTGAGTTTGGAGCAATGGAGACATTTTTGCAGAATGTGCCTCTCTCCGAGGCACCTTATACAAAGGGAGTGTCCATCAGAGGTGGACACTGCTTCTCTGCATGAACCACACTGTTTAAAGTTGGGTGATCCGGGCATGGCCATCCCTTTTTGTCTGAGGCAACTATACTAACTAAGATAACTATTTACAAGGAATTTTTTTTAAAACAATATAACTGTAACTAACTATAGGAACGGAGACTACAACTAAACAAGTAACTAACTAAGAAATTCTCTCTTTCAATCCTGACAGGAATCTGAGGAGAGGACGGTCAGGAGGAACTGGCGGGAGCTGGTCCGTGCGCACACACAAATGGCGTGAAAAGGCATGAGACGTGCTTTGCGCATGCACGGTCCAGCAGACTACAGCTGAAAAAGATCTCCAATCTGTGCACAAGCCCGACACCTACAGTGGAGCACCCATGGGACATTGCTCGAAGAAGAATACATAGTTTCTAGTGTACAGTTGTCACATTATACAGAGTCCTGGTGTGGGAGACCGTCCTCTGGAGAAATAAGCCAAAGAATATTTCCCATTTGCTGTAAACTAGATAGAATACTGATTTAGGAGCAAGGCAGATATCCCATGATTTGAGAAGCTGTATGATGATGGTGCCTTTTATTGTTTACAGTTTGCAAATTATTGAATTATTTTTCTGATTTTAATGAAAACATGGAGAGACTGATACATTTAGCGATTGCAAGAGAAAACATCAAAAATAAATGAAGATATTCTATGATAAAAAAACCTCTCCATTCGAGAATAGAGGGAGGGGAGGCAACTTATGTTGACAATGATATTTTTAGATTAAAAACTAAATGAAAATAATCTATCCCTACAACAGAAACCTTCCAAGGCTATGTCATTTAATACTGCAAAATGAACATTAAGTCTCCCTGAAATGCTGTAAAAGGTAGCCTATTTTTCATATTTTCCAATAAAGTATTTTTTTTCTTATAGCATTTCAGTGAAAGCTACCATTAAACCTGAAGTCCTCTAGAGTTATAAACACAGAGGCAAATATTCCTTATCTTGTTTTATATTCAAAGCATGTGGAGAAAAGAAGAACATAAATAGTTCTTTCCTATGGGAAAATGTACTCCATTTAATGGAAAAAACTCATGCAATAAGTGACTACCATAGGTTTGCAGAATCAAGACTTCCCAGGGGAACAAAATAAAAGGATGACTCTCCCTAGAACCTGGTTTTAGTGCCCCTACTTTAAACTGTGTCTAACAGGAGGCACTGTGTGAGCATCCTGCAGAATGAGAAGTACGGAATTCATGAGTTCTGACTCTGCACCAACATCCTAAGTTTATTTTTAATAATTTCTAATGCAAATATTGATATTGTCATTGTCCACACGAATGATTAATTCTTGTCTGAATTACTCTGAGTTCTTCTTGGCTTAAAGTTACACTATGGCAATGAATTCCCAGGGCTAATCATGTTTTGAGTATTCCATTATTTTACTACATTCAGTTTGTTGCCTTGCCCTTTTATTTAATGTCCCCTTATTCTTTTACTCTGTGAAATGAAAACAGGCTTGATACAGTCTATCAAGCTATTCATTATTTTGTATACCTCTATGAACAAGCTGTCTCAATCCATTTCATCTCTCTTCATAAAGAGATGCTTCTCTGGCTCTAGTCATTTTCTGTCTCCAAAACCCCTGTGTCTTTTCAGAGATAGTATGACCAGAATGTAACATGCTCAGGATGAGGATGCACCAGAAGTATAGAATAGCATTATGTTTTCAGTAGTACTTTACATCCTGCTGCCTTATATATCTGAACCAGGGGTGGATAAAAGGGCCTCCGTTGGCCACATCCCGACTGCCAAGAAAGTTGATCCAGTCTGTGGAGGTCTTGCCACTTCCTCCACCACCAGGCCAATCATGGCTTGGGGGCAGGAGAGTGCATGAAGTCTCCCACCCTACAAGGGGCTCAACACTTCAAGTCAACTGCCAGCTGCTGCTCAGCTGGCAGCTGACTAAGCATGGTGCTCCCTTGCAGGGCAGAAGCAGGGAGTGAGAGACATCATGTGCTCCCCTCTCCAGACCCGGATTGACCTGGCGGCAGAAGGGGGGAGCATGTGAAGTCTCCTCCCATTGCCAGGGGCATGGGTATCTAGAGGGAACCACCAGCTGTTCCGAACAGCCGGCGGTTCTCTTGGGGAGGCGGAGGCGCAAAGACCTTGTGCACTCCCCCACCCCCCGACTAATCATGGTCTGTAGATGGGGAAGCATGGAAGTGTCCTGGCCCCGCACCTTCCAGGGTGGCTCAGGACCACTTCAAAAATTTCTGAAGTGGCCCCCAGTCAAAAATTATTGCCCACCTTTGGTCCATCGTTTGGTTATTCTGACACTCTACAGAGTTAAGCCAACAAACAATCTAGCGCAGTGGTCCCCAACCATTTGGGGTTGCCGGGCGCC